AATCTTTTTTGGCTGTTTTCATAAATGTCTATTTTAAAATTATAGAAATTTATCTTTTTAGTGTAGTATGTTGAAATCTGCGACTGAACTATTTCAAGCTGTTATGTATGATACAGCAATTGACAATTTAAGGTGATTTTGCTGGTAGGTAACGGTATTGATAATGAATGCGTTTTATTCATTCATGGGATTCGGGCATCTCTACACCATGTATTGGTAAACCCAAATTGCTGAGAGGGCAGTTAAGTCAACTCTAGTAGTCTGGATTTAGAGTCACGTGTTTGCATGACCTGATAAAGATGGCAAATTTTCTTTCTAAAGAACATTTTTAGGAACTAGACAGTCTGCAGTGATAATATGATAGCTGTTAGGCTAGCTTTTTTTTTTGGGATTCCACCATGGCAGATGATGAAGTTTGAAGTCCATTTTAAAAATTAATTTCTTTAGCCCAACCATGACAGTGGCTCATTTAATCCTTTGCAGTTCCTTGCTGACTATACTTGAATTAGGAAATTAGTTGTTAAGCAAGGGGTATGGGTTCCTGCGTGTTGTGTAGGACTGTTTTAACATTGTTAAACCTCCCTTTGACTAGAGGGTGTAGACAGCTGATGTCGCAGGAGCTTGTCACATGGATAATGGCTCTCCAATGATTTGGTGATGTTTTCTTTGGTCAGAAACCAAACAGTTGATTGTGAGTCTACTGAATATGTTGTGAGCAACATAGGAGTGTTTTGTACTAAACCTGATGTGGTTTGTGGTTAAGTATGTTCATTCAAGCTTGTAGTTTGTTTGTTCAGTACATGCAACAGCAAACACAAAGCCTATAGATTCTTAAATATGTATGTAAAGGTGTATGCTAATCAGAAGTTTGTCAAGATCCATTTCTGCACATCAGTCATTTGAGGATCAGAAATTATGTTTAATTCTAATGACTGACTCATTTAATGAGTAACCAAGCAGGAATTTAGTGCTCAAAAGCTAATGTCTGAGGACTGTGTAGTTGCAGTTCTGTTTTTTGGTGAAACTGCATCATTGGACTGTTTCTAGGCTGCAGCATTTTCAGTCCAGGAAGTCGTTGGCATTAGTATTTTTTCCCCAATTAATGGCCACATTCTGACCATTCCACATGCAAATAAGTAGTTTCTAATGTCGTCTTTTAATTTTTTTTGAGATTTGTTTTAAAATTGATTGCCTTAAGTTTATGCCCCCTTGGTCATTTGGCCAAAAGATGGAATCAACACATGTCCATAAGATCTATCAGCCTTCTCAGCTTCATCTTCTCGTGAACGTTCATTTTGGGGAAGGGGGTGTCCCAGCTGTATAATCGCTACACAATTATTCCGGAAACTCGGCAAAGGGCTTTGAATCCCACCATGGCAAATAGTCATACATCATGGAAACAGATTCTTTGATCCAAACTCATGCACATCGATCAGATGTCCCAGTAGACCCGTCAGTCCAACTTGTCCGCTCCTACCAGACATCCCAATCTGACCTCATCCCATTTGGCCCATATCCCTCTTAAACCCTTCCTATTCATATACCTACCCAGATGCCGTTTCCCGAAACATCAGCCTCTCTGCTCCTATGATGCTGCTTGGCCTGCTGTGTTCATCCAGCCCTGCACCTTGTTGTCTCGGATTCTCCAGCATCTGCAGTTCCTACTATCTCTGCCGTTTTAAATGTTGTAACTGTACCTGCTTCCACGCTTCCTCTTGACAGCTTGTTCCATACATGCACTACCCTCTGAAAAAGTTACCTCTCAGGTGCTTTTTAAATCTTTCCCTCTCACCTTAAACCTATGCCCCCTAGTTTTAGGCTTCCCTCACCCTGGGGAAAAGACCTTATCTATTTACCCTACCCATGCTCGTAATGATCCTATAAGCCTCTGAGGTCATCCCTCAGCCTCCAATGCTTCAGGGAAAGTAGTTCCAGCCTATTCAGCTTCTCCCGAGAGCTCAAACCCTCCAACTGTGGCAACATCCTTTGTAAATCTTTTCTGAACCCTTTCAATAAAAAAAAAAAATTGGAATTGAGAATCTATTGATGACCCTGAAACTATTCAGAAAAGCCCCTCTGGTTCAATAATGTCCGTCAGGGAAGTACATCTGCCAGCCTCAACTTGTCTGGCCTACATGTGACTCCAGAACCACACCAATGATGTTGAATCTCAATTACCCTCCGAAATGACCTAGCAAAGTATTCAGTTGTACCAATCTCTACAAAGAATTGGAAGTGGACGGATAACCTGGCCTCAACCCAGGCACTGGAAAAGACAACAGCAAAAACAGCCCTGTCTACCCTGCCAAGTCCTCCTCGCTAACATTTGGGTTAGTGTCAAAACTGGGAGAGCTGCTTGTCAGAGTAGTCAAGCTATAGCCTGACGTTGTATGGAAGATGTGGTTCCATGAGTCTGACTGTCCCAGTTGCCACATCACCATCCCTGGATATGTCCTGTCGCACCAGCAGCGTGGACCCAGCACAGTGATGTACTGTCAGGTGGGAGTCCTTAACATTGACTCTGGACCTCATGAAGACTTGTAGCTTCATGTTAAACGTGGTCAAAAAAGTGGCCTGCTTGTTACCATGTACTGCCCTCCCTCGACTGATGAATTAGTGCTCCTCCATGTTGAATGACATTTGGAGGAAGCACTGTGGATGGCAAAAGCACAAACTGTACTCTGGGAGATTTCATTGCCCTCCACCAAGAGTGGCTCGACAGCTATAATACTGAACGAGCTGGTCAGGCCGTAAAGGACATAACTGCTAGACTGAGTCTGTGCCAGGTGGTGAGGGAACCGATAAAGGAAAAACTTGACCTTATCCTTACCAACTGCTGGCTGCAGATGCATCTGTCCCCAATAGTATTGATAAGAGTGACCATTGCAGAATCCTTGTGAAGATGAAGCCCCACCTTCACATTGAGAATATCTGCGGTTGTGTTGTGTGGCACAATCACTGTGCTAAGTGGCTCAGACAGCAAGCATATTGAACAACTCAACACTGGGCACCTGAGAGGTGCTAGGGGCTGTCAACAGCAGCAGAATTGTACTCCACAACCTGCAACCTCATGGCCTGGTATATCTCCCACTCAACCATTACCATCAAACCAGGGCATCAATGGAGAATGCAGGAGGGCATGCCAGGGGCAGCACCAAGTGTACCTGAAAAGGTGTCAACCTGGTGAAACTGCCAGGACTACTTGTATGCCAAGCAGCATGTGAAA